TTTATAAATAGATTATATATATACTCAATCAGGGAGTAAATTTTACCTTATAATTCATTTTCAAATATATCATTTTTTTGTCTAAAAACTGACTTGAATGTCGAAGTGTCTTTTACATACGAGTATATGTGTTTTCTCAAGTGAGAAAACTTTAGACTAAGAGTTCGTGACCAACTTTATCTTCTTGCCTTACTAATGGTATGTTAATTTATATTTTTCAAGTCTTTTACTATTTTGTTTTTTCAAATTAATGAACCCTAATTCACTTTTATCACACTTCTTCGTCATCTCATATGTTTTAAAAAGTAGAACCATACAAGCAAACAAAGACATTGATTTGGAGAGAAAAAAAAATGACCTTACTGAAATCTTTCCCTTCCTATATTCACTTTTCTTAATCATCCCAATATTTTTCTAGATTTCTCATGTTAATTTCATCTTTTTTAAGTAGTTTTAGGTATGATATGAACACTTCCTAAATAAAGTCTCTGGTGGATGGGTGTTTAAAATCAAACTAATCTAAAAAAGTATCTGAAATTGATAAAAAAATCGTTTTTTTTTAAATTTATCCACTTCGTTCTACTTAGATTTCGGACTAAATATTAAGAACCAAATCGAACAGCTTATTATATTTAAATATAATATTATATACTTATAATTAATTATCAATTAATTAATAAATATGTATGATTGTACTTTTTAAATATTATTTTATAGTTCGGTTATATTTTAATTATAATATATTTATAATTATTAAATATATTATAGTACCTTTGAATCATAAATTTTGATTATAAAAATGTTTAATTTATTTATAAATATAAAAAATTAAAATTATAAATATAATAATAATAATAATAATCATAGAACAAAAATTATATTATATTATATATATATATATATATATATATTTTTAAAAAAATTCGTTACAAAATACTTAATAATTTATAAGAATAAAAATTACAAAAAAGAATATTGATTTAATTTATTTTTTGAATTTTATATCTAATTAAAATCAAATCATACTTTGTTCTTACCGGACTCATGGAGGCCGACAAGAGAGGTGTGAGATTGGAATGAGGAGATTAGTGAATCATGTGCTGAGCTTTGACTTCGCCTTTGACTTCAAGGATGTTGAATGACTCCATTTAGAAAAAAAAAACATTTTGAAGAGTTACTTATTTTAGAATAAGTGATGAGTGAGATTTACTCCATGACTGAGTATTTTTATATAGGATCCAAAAGATAATAATAGGTTAAAAGATAATAACTAATAGCTAAGAAGACAATAAATGATGGTCCAAGAGATCATAAAGTGATTTTAATGGATTTGGGTTGGGTAGGTACATAAACCCCCAAACTTGGAGGTCGAGTTCCTTTAAGAATAAATATCAAACGAATTTAAGGTTGAGTTGTTCATTTTATCATGTAGACGAATAATGTTCAATTTGAACTTGTTTATTTTATAAATCATTATTCGGTTAGACTATGAAATATTCATAAGATTTACTCAATAGAGTCTAAAAACTTTAGGAAAAGGAGAGAGGAGATCGGTAAGGCTCCCATCAACCCCCAAGCTTAAGAAAGTCATTCTATGAAGACCAGAACTTCGTCGATTTGAAAAATGATTTGTACTTGTCATCTTTATGTACTATGATTATGAAGTTACAAATCATCTTGTTTATAGACTTTCCAGTTGTTAGTAAACTACACAAATATTAGATTTGTGACGCTGATTTTGATAACTTGAACACCCAAATAAAGTATATACTCGTGTAATCTCGAGTAAGGTAGATGCAAATTTTGATAACTAGTATACCAGAGTAAGTTGTGTATAATTCGTGCGATCCTAAGTAATGTATGTATAACTTGTGTGACCTTGAGTAAGGTATGTATAACTTGTGTGACATCGAGTAAGGTATGTATAACTCGTGTGACTCTGAGTAAGGTAAATGCATGTATTTATAACTCGTTTTCTGAGTGAAATATATCTTATGACTTGTTTGTTTGAGTTGGGTATATTTTTATAAGTTTTACAACCTTTAGTCATTGCGAATAAAGTGTGTAAGAGAACTAGATAAGATAAGTTCCTTAATTATGTCTTTGACTCGTTGGCATTGGTCAGCGGTATGCTTGTAATTCAGATGAAAATGGTATCAATATGAGCCGAAGATCGTAGAGGTGGCAATGCACACACCAATTCAAGTTTGAAAGTCTCTTGCAAGATGTGTTTTCTACTAATATTCAGATGTGTGTAATGTTCATACTTAGTTGTTCTAGATTTTATTGAAGGATTAGGCCGAGTAGGTTTGAGGAGAGATGTCTTTTCTATTTTTAAATATGACGTTATTGTCCTTTATGCAAATATAATTAGTTTCTTGAGCGTGTAACTTATCGTATGAACTCAATGGAAAAACAAAACAATTATCAATCAAAAGTTTGGGTTGTAAAGTGACTTGTATTGTGTGTAAGGCAACAATAAGGTGCAAATTAAATATAGAATTTGATATTTTGGTGAATCGTTCCATGAAACTACGAAAGGACTCACTCTCATTCTGTTTCACATCTTCTAAAGCCATCGAAGTAGCTTCATGCATATTACTAGTTGCAAACCTAACTTGGAACCTTTATGCAAATGTGTAGTATGAATTGATAGAATTATATGGTAAAGAATTATACCATTGTAAGGTTGGTCCTTGTTACATAGTGTGGAAGATTCGACACAAGACTGATCCATTATTAATATACAAATTTATCTGTGTTTTGTACATTACTAAATATTCTTCTAAATTTGTCGAGTAATCATACTTCTCTACATGAGTAAGGAGGATATATGTACAATATTTACTTTATACTAAAACATCAAATTCATGTGTAATAATCAAATCCCAACAAATTTACAATATTTCATAATTTTGAGACATAATGTGATTCGATTAAAAAAAATTCAAAAGGCTTATGAAACTTTGTAAAGGAAACCAAAGTATATAGTATATTTAACTTTTTTAAAGAAAATATAATGTCTAATACCAATAAAATCATGACAAATATGATTATAAAATAATTTATTTATAAACAAATTTAGTTAATTTGTTTATTAGAAAAATATTAGATGAAATTAATTTATTTACTTATATATATATATATATATATATATTTTATAAATTCAATAAATCTTTAATTTAATGTGATTTAAAGTATCATAGACACATCTTTCATCAAATCATTTACTTAGATAATTATGAGTTTAATTTTGATTAGACATTATTCACTTTATTAAAGTATTTATTCTAGTTAAACGTTACAAGATTTTTTGTCAATTTTAATTATGTAACCAATTTGTCTAAATCTAATTCTAAAGATTATTTTTATTGAGTCAATTCGTCCCTAATTCAACCCTAATGAATTTGAGTCCTTATAATTTAATGTGATATGTCATGAATAATTGGATCATTGTAACACGAGATCTATTATAACAATCCATGTTTCGAGATGTGATCTTAAAGTGATATGATTTCTAAAACAAGAAATGATACCTAGAAATTGTCCAATTACTGATTATATAAGTTGATAACCATCCAACAATATAATATAATTATACTAATTTTTATTATGATATGATATTTTTCCTAGAGTATTACTAACATAATATTAATTGAGTTATTATTAAATAGATTTTGAACAACATATCAACAATATGTTTGAGTTGAACATACTAAATTCATTTTCATTTGAAACACTCTCGATTTAACATTTTTGAGATATTGTTAACTCAATATCAATGAAGGCATAATACCGAAACATTATAAACTCAATTTTAATTAAATTGTTATCCATCAATTATCATCTACTCATCCTCGATTACAAACATCATCAAATTTAATGTGAATCAAGATATCATCTTATAACATTTCACCAATTAATTGGCAACATATTACAAAAGCTCGCTATGATTTATTATATATAACTTTATTGCATGTAGTTGACATTAACATAGCATCTAAATTAAAAAAAAAAGATTTTATTATTAAAAACTATTATGATATAAATATAATTAATCTGTATATTAAAGTTATAACATCATTAATTATGCTGCAACATGATTATTGGTTACATAGTAACAGTCTGTGTACAAAATGCCTATCACAGACGAAATGATGATAAGGATGGGTATGCATTACTTATTTTGTTGTTTTCTTTTCCACGCAGTTCATCAAACTCATTGTTTGAAAGCTTTATTCCTAGTTTCACTCGTTGCAATCAATTACAAAAGTTGAACGTGATTAATTATACAGCATTAAGATTAGCAACGGAATCTAAATCAAAAGATAGATAAAAGGGTATATTAGGTAAAAAGAAAAAGAAAAAGGAAATTTGGAGTGCAAATAGAAATGTAGCCATACCCAAATATAAGATAGCCCATAAAAGTGTGGGGGGAGAGGCCCAATGCCAATTAGTTTCACGGTGCACCCTTTGTAGTCTATATTTAATTAAAAGTTTGAATGAAACGATGGTTTAAAGAAATAGTTGAGGAAGGTGAGTATAGAGAGAATAGAAGATGAAAAATGGAGGGAAGGATAATGAAAAACCTAACCTAACCTAACCTAACGAAGGAGAAACAAACGTAACCCCATGTGATGCCTTACGTGTGGTATTGAAGGAGAAGTAGAAAAGCTTAGCTTACCTGAGCTTGACCACTTCAACAAAAGATAAAGCCCACATCAAAATGTTAACCCAATCACCACCGTCCAGTTCAGGGCCAAGTGAAGTAAGTGGGTGCGCGTTGTGAGAGCGGCGCACGTTAGCGTCTCCCCCCACCAAATCGGTGGTGCCTTCCCTCGTCCTATCCTGTCCACATCTCAAAACCAGCCGCACACCACCACCCACTATGTTACCAAACGCCACCACCACCAAACCCAAACCCACTTTCCCCCACTCTTTCTCACCCTTCTCCCATTCCCATTTCCATTCCCTTTCCTATTCTCATTCCTTCCTCTTCCATGGCCTCTCCTACTCCTCCCCCCGACCCCCCCACCGCCGTCCCCCTCGCTCTCCTCCCTCTCCCCGCGCCCCCCTCCTCCCGCCGCCTCCCTCCACCCTGCTGGTCCCCCGATGAAACCCTCGCCCTCATCGACGCCTACCGTGACAAGTGGTACTCCCTCGGCCGCGGCAACCTCAAGGCCACCCACTGGCAAGAGGTTGCCGACGCCGTCGCCAACCGCTGCCCCAACGCCTCCCCTCCCAAAACCCCCGTCCAGTGCCGCCACAAAATGGAGAAGCTCCGCAAGCGCTACCGCACTGAGATCCAACGCGCTCGCTCCCTCCCCGTTTCCCGATTCAATTCCTCATGGGTCCACTTTAAGCTCATGGACTCCATGGAGAAAGGCCCCTCTCCTGTCAAACCCGAACACGATTCCGACAGTGATAATGATGATGACGACAACGACGATGATCAAGATCTGTACCAGGAGATTAACCACAACGGCCACACCCGGAGCTTGAACAAGTTGTACAGGAACGGGTTTCCGGGTGCCGGTGCCGGTGCCGGTGGATTTAGGATTCGAATTCCCACCGGAATGGGCGCGGCTCAACCTGGATCTGGCTCCAAGGTTTTTGGGAAGGTTGGGAATAAAAAATTCAGCCCTAATTTGAATCAAAACCCTAACCCTAATTTCGGGAAGAAGAGGGAGAGAGATCCTCTGGGGGAGGTGGTGACTGCGATTAAGGTTTTGGGAGATGGGTTTGTGAGAATGGAACAGATGAAGATGGAGATGGCGAGGGAGATTGAGAGCATGCGGATGGAGATGGAAATGAAGCGCACGGAGATGATTCTGGAGTCGCAACAACGGATCGTTGAGGCCTTTGCCAAGGCCGTTTCAGAAAAGAAGAAGAAGGTCAAGACTGTGCCTTCGCCCCAGCAGCCCTAACTTTAAGGTCTCAGTAAGTAAGTTTCTGGTATTGTTTGTTTAGATATTGCATTGCTTTTACCACTTTTTTCATTTGTAATTTTAAGGTCATCGGTGTTAGGTTGGTGCTGGATGAATGGTGAATGTAGTTTTAGATATTCATTTTGTAGTTTTGATTTTCTTGCTGTCTTATCTTTTACGTTTAAATAAAATCAGAGAGGACAGGATCTCTTGCAAAATTGGTTTGTGTACTTTGGATTTATTAAAGTAACAAATTGAGTTATTGGGCATGCCATCGTCTTTGTTTGAGTGTGTGTGTGGGCTAGGATTTTGATCAATACTTTAATAACTGTCCTGGTTAAATGATGGTATCAATGTTCCAAATAAGAATATCACGAATTCTCCATTGATAGTATTTAAGCACCAAGTGTGAACTGTTCTGGATGCATAGTCATTCTTGTCTGGTTTCTGTGTGTACTGGAAAACTGTGTTCTTTATTCAATTTTGGGGATTCTGGTTTAGATCAATCACAGTGGCTGGAGGACTATGGAGTAACTCTATGCTTTTGGAATGGCATGAAATGTTCTAATGTTACGGTATACATGGAAAAAATGCTCAAGAAAAAAATAAAATCAAATGGATGTATACAATTGGGTATGAAAAAAAAAATCAGCATCCACAACATTATTAGAGCAGAAATAAAAAATCTTATAAAAACACCTCAGTCAAAAGAGGAAGAAGATGTGTATGAAACTAACCTCCAGACCATGACTGTACATTGCCAAATTATAAGAGAAGTGTTTCTTTGTCTGGAAACGCTCCATCATATTGTGATTCCCACTATCAAGGACCAAGTTTCATGTTTGAAAACAAAGAATAAGGTAATTTTAATCATATTGTGTTTTCTATTACCAAGGACCAAGTTCATGTTTGAAAACCAAGAATAAGGTCAATTTAAATCCCAAAATGTGGAAGAGGCATGACCATAACTTGTAACTACTGGCTCTGGTTAGGCATAAGAAAAAACATCAATCTCAACAAAGACCATTGACTTCTTTGACTTCTTAAAATGGACTAGCTAGTATACATTATTCATTTACATTTTCTGGTTAAGCAACTCAATTTTTAAAAATTCCAAAAACGATGAGTTATACAAATAATCTTACATCTTTAAGTTTCATAAGCACTCTTGTGAGGAAATAGAGTTAAGAATTCGGTTTTAATATATGATATTGATTACAAATGGTTGTATTTTACTTTTTTTTTTTACAATTTCAAATTATTTAGTGTCATGATTTTTAATAAAATATCAAAATTTCTTAATTATGATTTAAATAAGTTTTATCTTCCGGTTGTATAATGATTTTTTTTTTGGAATTTATTTTTTCAAGTTAGGTACCTGTTAAATTATAAATTTTTGCTCTAGATTTTTTTTAAAATTAGTTAATTTATATTTTGTGTCTTCTTATTATGTTGACAAATTTTTCAAATATTTTTTATTTTTTCCTTTGATCTTTTAATTTATTATCATATAACTTATATTCTTTCTATTATATGGAAAGGCAACACCATATGGTAAGGATAGATATAATACATACTTTATCTCAGTGGACGACATATTGAGAGTAGAGACGGATAAAGAATTTAAAGAAAAAGCAAAATATTTGTGATAGATACTTTATCTTAGGGGACACATTGAGAGTAGACAGCATAACGAATTTAAACCGAAATATTTTTGGACATAAAACTTATCAAGTCATTATTTATCAATTATTATTAGTGGATTGAATTAATTAGTTTAACATAAAAAATTAATATTTAAATTAAATAAATATGAATTTATTTAAGGATGTTTATATATATATATATATTAAAAAAAGAAATGAAATTAATTCATTTTGAAAATAAAAAATATATTTTTGTATTATTAATTTTTTCAATTTAATAATCTAAAATAATAATTTAATTTAATAATTATATTAAAAAGATAAATGATTATGATGGAAATAAATCTTTAAATATTATTCTTATTGGATATCTCCTTATTTATATTTATTAAAAGAGTAAAATTATTTTAATAAAATTGGTTTAGTAAATAATATATTTATTGCCATTTTTAATCTTAAAAAATTAATTCAATAATAAAGATGTTATTAGCATACATATTATTAGAAAATAAATCTTCCATATTTTTCATCATTTTTTAAATTAATTGAATAAATTATTTATAATTTTTAAAATATTTATTTTAATGCAAAATAATTTAAAATATATTGATAGATTTATTTTATTCAAAATATGTATTTTTTTCATTTAGGTATAAATTAAATTAAATTATTATTTAAAATTATTTTGAAACAATTTTTAATAAATTTATTTGATGTTTTTATGTTTATGTTATTTATAAGAAAGTAATTAAAGAGAGAAATGTAAAAGAGAAAAAAAATAAGAGAGTGAGAAATTAAGTGAAATAGAATATTGATGATTTGTAAAATTTTGAATAAATATTCGCAAACATGAAAAAAAATTCTCTGAGCCCACCGATATCTGGAACGCCACCTTATGAGAGCATAGTCACTCCTTATGTGAAACAGTAGCTTTAAATAAAAATAAAAATTTGATTTTTTTTTTTAATGTTTATATCAGTATTGTACAGATTATTCATCTCCCCAAGTAATTGATACATGTGGGTTAAGTTTCGAATATCTCTTTTAGAGATATAACAAATATTTTTTTTTCAAAAATTATACTCATTATTGTAGAAATTGCGCGTAGGATAATAACTGTAGTTAAAAAAGAAGAGAGGAGTACCAATAAAAAGATTCTCAGATTAAGAGAATGATAAGTTCACTGCTGGGTTTTTTTACCAAAGAAAAAAATGTAACAAGTATATAGTATTTATGATTTATGATATATTTGATTAAAATAGAGTAGAGATTTGAGAGACAATAAAAATCAGATTTATGGAGTGAAGAGTCCGGAAGATGAAATGGCATGGCGTGAGAGGAGAAAAATGAAAATGGTTGGGTACGAATAATGTGAAAGTAAAGTAGATAGGAGAGGTCAATGGAACGTTGAATTTGGTGATGAACTTATATTAGAGCAAAACCCCAAAGAATGTGGAGGAGGGCCTATTGGAGTGGAGCAGAGCAGATTTAACGCCGTTGTATTTGCTGCAATGTGAATGGCAATGACAACTATGCCATTGGCATCTTCTATTACCATAATACCATTATTCTATTCTCTAACACATCCTTCTGTCATAGTTTCTGAACGACCCAATAACCCGAAACGAAGCCAAACACTCTTTCCCCGTTCCACCTATCACGCGCACCATGCGAGGCCACGATTGGATCAACAACTCGCTTCCCGACGAGTTAATCGTAGAAATCTTCTCCCATCTCCAATCCAAGTCCACGCGCGACGCCTGCTCCCTCGTTTGCCGCCGCTGGTTCCGCCTCGAGAGACGAACCCGAACGACCCTCCGCATCGGCGCCACCCACCTCTTCCTCGACCTCCTCCCCGCCCGCTTCTCCAGTCTCAGAAACCTCTACATCGACGAACGCCTCTCCATTCCCCTCCACCTTGTCCGTCAATTCCTTCCTTTCGTTCCATTCTCGCATTTCATTTCCGTTTCAATTTCGTTTTAATTCTAATTAGAATTTGGTTGTTTGTTTTCCAGGGAAGAAGGCGACCCACCGATGAAGATGGCGATCTCGAGTCCGTCTGTTTATCCGATACTGGTTTGTCGTCTCTCGGCGAAGGCTTCCCCAAACTTCACAGATTGGGCTTAATCTGGTGTTCTAACGTCTCTAGCAATGGCTTGGCATCCCTAGCTCGGAAATGCACTTCTCTCAAAGCCTTGGACTTACAAGTAAGCTCTCATAAGTTTCTTTTGCTCATTCACTTTCCATTTCAGACCCCCTTTGATGCCAATCTCTGCACAAATGCTTAATTAATCACCGCGGATATTTAGATGCCTATTTTCCATATAAATGCATTTTTTGCATTAGCATTCTCTCAATATCTACAAATCGACGCGCCATATTTGCAGTTGTAATTACTGAGGTTTTCCTATAGGGTTGTTATGTTGGGGATCAAGGTCTGGCTGCTGTTGGACAGTGTTGCAAACATCTTGAAGATTTGAATCTGCGGTTCTGCGAAGGCTTGACTGATTCGGGTTTGGTTGAGTTAGCAGTAGGTGTGGGAAAATCTTTGAAATCTCTTGGTGTGGCGGCTTGTGCCAAGATAACTGATATCTCAATGGAGGCTGTAGGATCAAACTGCAGGTCGCTTGAGACCCTGTCCTTGGATTCTGAGTTCATCCACAATAGAGGGCTGGTTGCTGTGGCTCAGGGATGCCCAACTTTGAAGGTTCTGAAGCTCCAATGTATTAATGTCACCGACGATGCTTTGAAAGCTGTAGGCACTAGCTGTCTGTCTCTCGAGTTATTGGCACTATATAGTTTTCAGAGATTTACTGATAAGTGAGCTGCTTTCTTGCGAACTCTTGCTTTATTTTTCCTTCGTGCCCCTCCCCTCAAATTTATGTACATTATTATATAAATTGAGACTCACTGAGGTTTGTCCAATTTGAAAATCCTTGTTTAAAATGCAATCCGTTTGTTGCACACATCGGGGGTCACCTTTTCTCAAATGTGTCTGATCATTACATATGCATTCTCCTTATAAGGATTGTTTTATTTTTTGCTTTATTTAGTAATTCTTTCACAATAATGTCTTTTATTCAGGGGGTTGCGTGCTATTGGGAATGGATGTAAGAAGTTAAAGAATTTGACTTTAATTGATTGCTATTTCTTAAGCGACAAGGGTTTGGAAGCAATTGCTACTGGTTGCAAGGAACTTACACATCTTGAAGTCAATGGATGTCACAACATTGGAACTTTGGGGATAGAATACATTGGGAGATCTTGCCAGTATGTTTTTCTCTGAGCTAAATTACTTGTGAAAAGGTTATCGATGCATTGACTTGAGTTATGTGTATGCATCTAACTGTGCTTAAATAGTTTGGAACCAAGAAATTAAAATTAGAGGATGCCAATTAATTTATGATGTTGATAGTTCCCCTAGGATCCTTTTAATGCATTTGATCTCTCTTTAAATGGTCACTCAATAAAGCATCGGTGGAAGCAGAAGTTTTGTTGTGCGTGGTGAATGTGCTATGACAATTGTTTGACCAACCATGGCATGTGTTTATTGATCGTCCACTGAGGTCTGTTCCTGCTTGTTCTGGTTGTTGAATGATTGTGTTAATGCACATGTTAAAATGTTCAGTTACTTTAGTGGAATAGTGGTATTACAGATTTAGGCCTCTAATATGAGAGAGAGAAACAGAAAGACAGACAAAGAAAGAGGGAGTAAGATAACAGAACTGAAAGCATAGAGAGATCAGAAAACTTGCATTTTCTTGTTATTAATGTTTCATTCTGTCCAAAATATACAGCAGTCATGCTTTATTCATTGGCAGCTAACCAACAAGCATAAAATCCTAACTAATAGTCGCTGACAAACTAACTTGCATTCCTTTCCTATTCACATTTACGGTTCAATCCTTACCCATCCCCGCCATCAAGGGTTTTGAATAACTCCTTAAAAAAATTACTCAAAAACAGGATCCCTATCTCTAATTAGCTCCACTAGTGCTCCATGTATGTGTAGATATGTTCCGTGTAGAGTTGATCTAGTGTGGCGGCTGCATATTGATACAAAATGACCACAAAATAGGCATAGTTGCTCGTATGATCAATGATGACCCAACTAGTATCCTATTGAAGTAAAAATAAAGATTTTGGGCTTTGTGTTTGTCTACTTCTGCAATTCAAGGTTTCAACGTTTTTGAAGAATTCTTGGCTATCCCTGTTGCTGAGTTATCTTTCGGCTGGGACTGACTTCCCAGTAACATGTTCTTGTTGGAGTTCCAATTATCAGGAGTATTAGTTGGTATTACTGGTGCCAGGAGCCTTATCTTGGTCAACATTTTCCTCTCACCCTACCGTTGCAGTGTGATTTATTGCATCCATCCCAAACAAGACAAGCCATTTAAGCATTACGAGAAATTGCATCAAATTCATCGTTAAATTGTGCCAGGTGGCGTGTTATTGCATACACATTAAGAGTGATTCTTGCATGCACACACCACTAACACTTATTTTTTTTATTTCAATTTTTTCTTTCTATAATTAATTTCTCATAAGTAACCCAAAAATAATATTTTTTTCCCCAAATCATACTTCAAAATAATTTAAAATATATTCATGAGTTTATTTTGAATAATAATAATATAATTTAGTTTATATCTAAATGAAAAACATATTTAAAATAAAATGAATTATTTAATATATTTTAAATTGTTTTAAATTAAGTTAAATATTTTAAAAATTATAAATAATTTATTTAGTTAATTTGATAATATAATCTTTTATATTCAAATTAATTAACTTCTAGATTTAAACTCTTTTTTTCATATTTAATAAAACTATTCACGTAATAAGTTATTTTATCAATCAACAAATTATTGGATCGATGTTTATAATATTTATAATTTTATAATATCTATCTTGGCTTAAAATAATTTAAATATAAAATATGTATTTTATTTAGATCTGGACTAAATTATATTATTATTCAAAATAAATCTTTAAATATATTTTATATTATTTTGAAATATAATTTTTTTCAAAAATTTAATTAGTTTTTTATTTTAGATAATTTTATGAGGAAATATTTAAAGAGAGAAAACTTAAAAAAATAAATAATAATGAAGTTCCGATGGGAGAAAAACTATGATAATAGAAGAGAGAAAAAATAAATGTTAGGTGAAATAGAATGAGTTGTCCAATTTTAAGTAATTGTGTGCAAATATAACGTGTTAGGGGAATGTACATATTAGAATTACTCACATATCAGAGTACTGGTCTCAGTCTGAATCGTCACCTTCCCATAGTTGCTCGTATGCTTGGTTGGATTGCTTTATCATCCAGCACTGTGCTTGCCATCTTAACTTTCATATCATTGGGAGTTTCATCCAGCTTAAAGAATTCTTCACACTCAACTATTCCAAACAAGAACTTCTATCCTTTGAAATTTTGGGAATTTCATTTTTGTGAATTAGGTTGAACATCAATACTCTCTTTTATCAGAATCATAGTGTCTGTCATGTGCAAGATTGATGGCAGCATCAACCTTCTTGCATATCAAGTATTAACCACTGAAGCATATTAGAAATGCCCTCCACCATTTCTCATAGTGTAAATGAAGACCTTTGCAAGCTTCTGATCAGTTTGAATGACGTCGTCTTCCATTTTTCACACGTTGTTGACTGTAATCATGTTTTTGTGCTCATGGGTGGAAGGATTCTGGTCTAGTAGCCTTGGACAGTGAGGCTCTCGATACCACTGATATAGGATTTAGGTGGGAAAGAGAAAGAAGTAGAAGGAAAGAGTGGAGAGGGTCAAGAGAGCTGAACATAGATGATTGAGAAATGAGAGAAACCGAGAGAGCATAGGACGTCAGTTATTATTCTTCCAGTCTGTCCAAAATATACAAAAGTCATGCTTTACTTATAGGCATTCAACCCACAACCATTAAATCCTAATTAACATTAGCTGACAAACTCAGTTACATTTCTTTCCTATAAATATTTACATAGGAATGTTATCTACGAAGTTCCTGATATTTGGGTTATCCTTGATGTCACAAGTTTTGCAAAAATGTTGAATTATCTCCATTATCTTACAATATCATGCAAATCCTAACTTTTTAATGTGTACAGGTATCTCACCGAGTTAGCATTGCTTTACTGCCATAGAATAGGTGATGTTAGCCTTCTTGAGGTGGGGCAGGGGTGCAAATTCTTGCAACTTCTTCATCTGGTAGATTGCTCAAGCATTGGAGATGATGCCATGTGTAGTATAGCTAGTGGCTGCCGGAATCTAAAGAAACTTCATATTCGTCGATGTTACAAGGTAACAACTTCAAGATTTTGTATTTTTTATGAAGCTGGCACGAATGGCATCAAATTTTGGGTCCCAAGATATATTATTCCAATTAATCGAGCAAGTTAATTAATGTACTATTCCTTCCTTTAATTTAAAGGCAAGATATTGTTGTTTTGCAACTTAGCTAAGTGTTTCTATGATACGATTAATTTCTTTACTCATTTTAAACTCTGTCCCTCATCACGACTATGATATGGTTACATTAGTTACTCTCTTTTTCTCACCCAAGAGAAGCTGTGTAATGTAGGAAAAATATTTGAAAGGTTAGTACTTGAAAAATAATGTCAATTGTTAGAATTATAGACTGAGATTAAGAAGGGGGTGAATTGATTTTTACAAACTTTTTCGCAATTTACATATACAGATTAACAATTTCAAAGATTAAGAAATTTGATCAAGTATTAAACCAAGAAAATCAAACATAATTGAATATGATTCAAGCTGAATTAAAGAAAATGATAGAAGAGGAAAAGAAATACCAAGAATTATACTGGTTCACCCAAATCACCGGCTACATCCAGTTCTTAACCAAATTCTAGTTGAGTTCCACTAAGTTGAAAATGTTTTAATTACAAAATCAAATTACAAAACACCTAACTTGTATCAAGAATCAAATTCCAGTTCTTGAACCTAACCTGCACCAAGAACCAAATTCTAGTTCTTGAACCCAACCTGCAACTAAATTCCTGTTGCAAAACCAGTGCCCAATCTTTCCGACACCAAGACAATACAAAATAGAATTGAAAGAATGAAGAAACTAGAACAATCAAACTCGATTATGTAGATGCAGAAATCCTACTGCAAAATGAGTTTCTTCACAAGCAAGAATATAAAAATGCCTCAAGAAAGAATTTCAAAAATTTTCACTGAAAATAACGCATTTCTCTTTTAAAAAAATCTCTATTGATTGTTTGAATGATTTCTAAAAACTGTGTTTTTAAAACGTTGAAGCAAATCTATTTATATAGAGATTTTTCTAACAAACTGGTTTAATTAATTGATGAATTTGTCTTTTAATCGATTAAAAAATCTTGATTCTAACGGTTTTAACTGATGAAAATATCATTTAATCGATTAAAATGTTCTACAACACTTTCCAGAAATATTTTAACTGATATAAATGCGGTTTAATCGATTAAAACAGTTACTCAAAAATCCTTAAGTGATTTTAATTGATTTAATTCGAAGTTTAATCAATTAAAATACTAACAGAACATTTTCTAAAGCTTCTTAGGTGTTTTTAATTGATTAATTTGAATATGTATCGATTAAAACAGCAATAGAACATGCTTAAACTTAGTTTAAGTGGTTTTAATCGATTATTTCGAAAATACATCACTTAAAAATGTGTCATAAGTGTTTTTAGCTGATTTTAATCGATTAATTTGTAAATATATCGGTTAAATCCGAGACTTAAGAGCATATTAATCGATTAAAATGATTTTTAACATATTAAAAAGTTTAGAGGCATTTTTATTCATAGAACCTCATGCTGTATAAATGGATAGATGATTATACTTACTTAATATTGATATAGACTCATTAAACAACACATTTCTTATCCCATAAACCTTTTGACTTCATCAAATCTTCAAGATTTTCACTATCAACATCATCAATGACTGTGGGATACATAATGTAGCCTACTTTTTATGGTTGACTAATTAAGATTTTAGGATAAGTTTTATATGTTTGTTCCTTTCTCTCTTTTTGTTGTTACTAGATTGGGAACAAGGGAATCATTTCTGTTGGCAAGCATTGTACATCTCTAACAGATCTTAGCATTCGATTCTGCGACAGGTAAGTAAAATATTTTAAAAGTGAGAATTCGAGATTATTCAGAACATACAAAATATTGTTTATTGTGGAAAATGTCCACCTTAATATGTTATTCAATTGCAAGGGTGGGGGATGGGGCCCTTACTGCAATAGCTGAGGGTTGTTCCCTTCATTCTCTGAATGTTAGCGGTTGTCATCAAATTGGAGACGCCGGAATGATAGCCATTGCAAGGGGCTGTCCTCAACTCTATTATTTAGATGTTAGTGTCCTGCAGGTATGGTTTCTTGATTTCATCACAGTTGTTTCACTGTAATATTATGTATGACACATCATCACGGTTAGGGACTGCATATATATTCGCATACGTCATGCCTCCAAATTTTTGATTGCGGCATATATATATATATATATATATATTAGCATGGATGTTTGTTGTCAGCAATTTTTAGAGCTACATTACATAAACACGTAATATCTACATGGAAGAGCTTTATATTCGTTATACATATGAGAATTAGTGGTGGAGAATCTCTAAATTGGTCAACCTGATAATAACTAAAACCTTCTGACTTTTATTACCTTCCCTTTCTACTTTCGTACCTTCTCAATTTTTCTCATTATAATTTCAGAATCTGGGCGATATGGCATTGGCTGAGTTGGGTGAACACTGCTCATTGCTTAAAGAAATAGTGGTTTCACACTGCCGTCAAATAACTGATGTTGGCCTGACGCATCTTGTGAAAAGTTGCTCAATGCTGGAGTCTTGTCAAATGGTTTATTGCTCTGGTATAACTTCAGCTGGAGTGGCCACCGTTGTTTCTAGCTGTCCTAACATAAAGAAAGTCCTGGTTGAGAAGTGGAAGGTTAGCCAACGGACAAAACGACGAGCAGGGTCTGTAATTGCCTACTTGTGCGTGGACCTTTAGACCATATACAATTATATCTCTGACCCTGAGCCTTTTTTTATTTTGATTGAATATACAAAATGCTGCTGGCAACTCACTCTAATCTAATGGGTACGAAATATGAGGCAAAGTAGGGCGCACTCCTTTACGGGAGTTGTAATATGAGGAGTATCAATAGTGTAGAAACCAAAAGTTTAGATAAAAAAAATGTTCTTTATTGTAGCATATGAAAAGGGTATTATGACTGATATTGATTTAACAGGTTACTGAGAAATCTTGTCAAGAAAAACTTAAAGGTTTGATTTTGTTACTGCTCCAAGTAGCCTCAGTTGTCCTTGGAGGGATCTTGTTCTTTGCTCGGATTTTGGATTCTTTGTTGATGTATGAATTTGGGCATGGTTTCTGTAATCTTTTCCTTTCCATTTCTCCCGTACCCCCACCGATACTCGCCTCCTTATTTCCCATTCAGACGCCGCAATTTATCTTATGACTGCAGGCTTTCAGAATCAAGTCAGGGTTTTCTTTGTGGTTTATATGACTGCGCCACTTAAACTTTGTTGGAATATATAACCAAGGGATGTAGGCAATTTAATGTGAGAACGCCGATTGTTTTACTTATCATATGGAGATTGCAAATTGTTCTATACAGGTCATAATATTTTTGGTGAGAAAAAAAAAATTATTGATTTTCGGATGTTTATTCATTTATTTCTAGGAGCAATGCTATAATCACGGAAATATTGTTTAGTTGAGGTTTACAGAAGATGTGGCGTTTCAATTTTTCCCCTGATGACCGCGATTAGTAGTTTGAAAGTTGAAAAACTATTTTTAAAGTTAGTAATTTGTTTCTATGACACCGGATTCTTTGTAGATTCTTTTAACTGCTGGGAGTCCTCATCGTAGGAAAAATATACTAGTAACATTAACTCAAATAGTAAAATAAATGTAAAATGTTTAGTGAGTATACATTATCTGCATTACACTGCATTAGGAGAAATTATCCATGACATGCTTCTAATTCATTTTATATAACAATTAAGTATTATTATTTTTATTCACTAAATTAAAAATTGAAATATTTGTATGAAAATTAATTAAAATCATGAGCACGTTGTAATCTAAAACTACCTAGTAATTTATCTTGCATTTGTCTTTTAAAAAGAATTCTGATTCAGTTGAATGAGGGAGTGCGGATAGTTTTGTAATTACAGACTGCTCTACTATATCATGAAAAATGTTACTACAATGTAATTTAATCCCTGCTTTTTATTCTTCAATGTGGAGAGTGTGCTGCGCTATCCGATTTTATAATATCCTTAGTGATTATCACTTATGAGATATTATAAGATTTGAGACTCATAAACCCCCAAGTATCAAGTATTAAGGGTAAAAGAGAACTAACACTTTAGTCTTATATTTCAGTTATCTGTAAAAAAAGGTTTTAGACAAAATTCCGATACCAACAGTACAAGAACATTGTAGGTATATTTTTCCTTTCACAAAAGATCTACATATTTATTTATACATTTTTTCTTTAAGCGAGTATTTTCTGCCTAATTCCCATCACTGAAAAATAATTATAAATATTTAATTAGTTTTTAATCCAATATTTTTATTTCACCAAGTCTAAATAGACTAAAATCACCTTTTAAGGCCAGTATTATTCTCAAAGAAGGCAATTCTTAATCCGTAATATTTTTTCACCTTTTTTTATTTTTTTATCTCTACATGTCTCCTCAACCAACCCAGTATAGTTTCACGGGTTTCTTCAAACTTGGGCAGATAATAATTTCATCGTAAATTCTCATATCAGATTCAGTTAATTTTTTGTGCCAAATTTTTTATGGGAGAACTGAATTAATATTAAGAAAATAGTTTAGAGACTAATTTATCGTTAAATAATAAAAATACTATGAGGGATAATTTCAATCGGATATAGAGGAACGGTGCGTGATGGAGGAATGAACCATCGGAGTAGCAGCCATGTCCAGTGGATGCAGTATCAGAGCTATATGGATTCTCAACAACCTCGACGCCGTCGTTTTCTCCAGGTACCTTCTTCTCCTTCTCTCAACTCCAACACGGTCTCTGCAAATACATTCAATTTGTTATTCTTTTTCTGCATTAGGAAGTTTCCGGTGGTGGAGAAGCGTTGGCGAGCTGCTTGCAACGCGGACAATGACATCGATCAACTCTTCGCTTCCTTACCCACTCACTCTGACCTCGCTGATGCCTTTCTTGACCGAAAGCATAGGTTGGTTTATCTTCTCCTTTCTCTCCTCACATTTAACTCTATGCACTCCAACTTCTGCTTTCGATTTCATTATTAATAGGCGAAAAGGGTAAACAGATTATTCAATCAAACAATATTCGTGCAATCATCATGTTAATTACCACTAACAAAGCGTTTCACTCATCATTCCTTCGTGCTTTTGTTTAGGGAAGGATCTGCGCGAGGATTTGGGATACGCAAGAGTAATTCGACTCTGGGATCAGATTCTTGGGTGGATGATCCCATTACTCGTCATATTGTCGGTCTTTTCATTAACAAAGAAGAGGAGGACATTAAGAATCTTTTATGGCCTTTAATCTTGCACACAAAGGGCCTTTACAGTATACTTGTTCTGCCATTGGTTGAGCCTAGGCATTTAGTGGCATATGCGAGATTGTGTAAAAGATCTGATTGTGGAACTGCTCTTGGCATGGATGATGGCTTGTCTTCCCTCTTGTTGGATCTTCCATCAGTAACAGGGTATGCTAAGTTAGTTGCACGTGCCACAAACATTCTTGACTAGAAAATCATCTTTTACATGTTGGTTTAGATTGGTTAGTTGTTATTATTACAAACTTTTTTTATTGGATTTCTTCATATAATTATTGGGTAATACAACGTGAATGCGATTTTGAACGCATGTACTTGAACATTTTTTACATGTGTTACGAAAGAACTATAATGAGAGTAACCGAGGCACTAGATGAAGAAGAAGAGTCAAGAAGAGAGGTTTCTGATTTAATTCCAAGAATTAGGAGAAAAGTTACAGAATTTTGCTGATACCAGAAGAAAGATGTATTATTTCTTTTTTCTATACCCTTAATCAGTTTAAGTATTTCTTCCCTCTTTGCTAAGCTTCTGTCAACTAATTCCACCTTGGACTCATTAGGTACATATGGTAGATGAATGGGAGGTGCCTGTCCATACACAATCTCGTAGGGAGTAGCCTTAGAAGCTGTGTGATAGGTGGAGTTATACCACCATTCAGCCAAAGAAAGCCACTTACTTCATTGTTGAGGTGTATCAACACACATACACCTAAGGTAGGTTTCCAAAGATCTATTGACCACCTCAGTTTAACCATCGGTCTGATGGTGGTAACTGATAGAAAGTTGGATCTGAACTCTTTGGATGGACATGAACTCCTGCCAAAAATTACTGACAAAAATTGGGTCCCTGTCACTAGTGATTGTGCTTGGGAAACCATGTAATTTGAACACATTATCCAGAAAGGCTTGAGCCACTTCTGCAGCTGTATAGGGATGAGATAAAGCTATGAAGTGTGCAGCCTTACTAAGCCTGTCCACCACTACATAGATAACTTGCTTTCCAAAGGAGTTAGGTAACCCCTCAATAAAATCCATAGTCAAGTGCTGCCATACTTGATCAGGAATGGAAAGTGGTTGTAAGAGACCTGGACTAGCTGTGGTTTCATTCTTGTTTTGTTGGCATACTGAACAGTGAAGCACATATTTCCTAACATCTGTAGACATCCCCTTCCAGTAAACTACTGCTTTAATTCGCTGCAGGATTGCATTTATTCCTGAATGACCTCCCACACCTGAATTATGTAGCCACTGTAAAAGGTCTTGTTTTAATTTCACATTACTACCAACCACTAGCCTTCCCTTCCTTCTAAGCTCCTGATTATGCCAAGTGTAATGTTTGTGAAGTGCAGTATTCTGTTCTACCTCCCTAACCAGTTTCTGTAAATTAGCATCAGAGGTCCAATTATCTTTAATTCTTTCTACCAATTCAGATTGTAATTGATAAGTGTTCATAGTGCAACATTCCCCTTTTTCAATTCTGGAGAGAGCATCTGCTGCTCTATTTTCATGACCCTGTTTATACTCAATTGGAAAATCGAACTCCATCAACTTCGCTAACCATTTTTGCTAAAAAACTGTAATAAGCCGCTGGTCCAATAGGTACTTCAAGCTGTAATGGTCAGTTTTCACAGTGAAATGTCTGTTGATCAGGTAATGTCTTCACTTTTATACTGCAACTACCACAACAAGTAGCTCTTTTTCATAAGTAGATAGAGTCTGCTGTTGCTGGTTAAGTACCCTACTGATATAAGCTATAGGGTGATGAGATTGCATTAGTACTGCTCCAATATTATGACCTGAAGCATCCACCTCTACTACAAACTCCTTTGAGAAATCTGGTAATGCTAGCACTGGTGCACTAGACAGCAAATGTTTCAGCTTTGAGAATGCCTTCCTTGCCTGCTTGGTCCACTCAAATCCATCATTTTTCAGCATGTTGGTTAAGGGTCTGGCTACAACTCCAAATCCTTTTACAAAACGTCTGTAATAACCTGCCAAGTCTAGGAACCCTCTTAACTGTTTAATGTTCCGAGGTAGGGGCCAATTTTTCATAGCTGCTACCTTATCGGGTCTATGGATACCCCTTCTGCTGAGATGAAGTGTCCAAGATATTCCACTTTACTAACTGCAAAGAAGCATTTAGATTCCTTGGCAAATAAGTGATTAGCTCTTAGTGTCCGTAATACTTCCCTTAAGTGTTTAACATGATCTTGCAAGTTGGCGCTGTATACCAAGATATCATCAAAGAAAACCAACAAAAATTTCCTCAGATATTGTTCAAAGACTGAGTTCATAAGCCCCTGAAAAGTAGCTGGGACATTGGTCAATCCAAAGGGCATGACCACATACTCATAGTGCCCACCATGAGTCCTAAATGTAGTTTTATGCACATCTTCCTTATTCATTCTCACCTGATTATAGCCAGCCTTAAGATCAATCTTAGAAAAAACAGTTGATCCATGCAACTCATCCATCAAATCCTCCACTAGAGGTATAGGGAATTTGTTCTTGACTGCGTTTCGATTTAACTCCTTGTAATCAACACAAAGCCTCCAAGATCCGTCCTTCTTTCCCACTAGTACTACAGGACTAGCATAGAGACTTGAACTGTTCTGAATTACACCAGAATTCAGGTATTCTTTCAAAATTTTGTCAATTTCATCCTTCTGATTCTTACTATATCTGTAAGGCCTTTTGTTAACAGGATTTGCTTCCTGCACTAGAGGAATTTTATGATCAAACCCAGGCCTAAAAGAAGGTAATTCATTAGGTTCTCCAAACACATCTGTAAACTCAACCAGTAGTTCCCTAATGCAGTTAAGCACGTCTTGTTGACCAACATGACTAGTTAAGGATTGCAGCAATCCTTCCCCATCCTTCTCACAAAGTTGCAGCATAGAAAAATGGACACCCTCACACAGTGCCTTACCTACCTGCTGTTTTCTTACAGTATGTACGGCAGCAAATGGAGAACCCTTTAACACAACTCTGTTTTTATTGACAATAAACTCCATCTGTAACTTATTAAAATTCCACCTAATATCACTCAATGTCACCAACCATTCAATGCCCAAAACTAGATCACAGCAACCCAAAGGAATTAGTAGCATATCTGAGCGAAAGGTAGTGTTATGTATGGTCCAATCAAAATTCCTTACCCTGGATGTTATACTCAACTTATTACCATTAGCTACTGTTACCATGAGTGGTTCAATATTTTCTATCGTACAACCAAATCTTATTGTTGTCTCAATGTCCAAGAAATTGTGTGTACTATCACTATCAATCAATATATGTAATGATTGCTTTTTGACATGACTAGTCACACGCATGGTTTTAAAACTAGTAATACCTGTTAGCGCATTTACAGAAATCTACGGCTCCTCCAATTCATTCCGAGCACCTTCTCCAACTGATGCACTCTGCTCCTTGTCCTCATCATCCAAGACTTCTAACACATGAATCTGAATTTTCTTGTGTGTCAAGCCATGTTCAAAACTATATGGTTCATCACAAAAATAACACAAACCTTTAGCCCTCCTTTCATTGATATATGCTGGTGTTAACGTCTTTGTAGTCTTGGCCTTAAGCTTGGAAGAATCTTGTCTTTAAGCTTGGAAGAATCTTGTTGATATTGAATTATTGACGGTGTTTTATCAAGCCCATCTGGTTTGGCACCCAAAATTCCTTTCTATGCCTTGTGAATTGAAGTGCTATTAGCAACTGTGGAGTGTTGTTTGGAAAGATTTAAATTGATAGGGGAATTTGCAGCTTCATACATCCTTGCCAGTGTAAATGCTCTTTGCATTGAATTGGGTTGAAACATGCGCACTAGCATTAGAACATCTTGTTTAAGGCCCCCCAAAAAACAACTCAAACTGTATTCCACCGATAGGTCTAAACGGTTTATCAAGGCCTCAAACTCTTCGTGATACTCAACTACTGTCTTCTTTTGTCTTAGCTTCATAAGATCTGCCATGGGATCCTCACATATATCTCCAAACCTTTCCAGAACTAGTTGCTGATATTCATCCCATGATAATAGAGCACAATTCTTGGTTTTTGATAATGCGGTTTGCCACTGTAATGTGCGACCTTCCAAATGTACAATTGTCAATTGGACTTTTACATTATCAGGTGTACGATCAATTTGAAAGAAATTGGTGCATTGGTAGAGCCACTGATTCACATTTTCACCATAGAAACGGGGAAAATCAATCCGAGCTAATCTTGTGCTGCAATTGTAAGAAGACGATCCTATAACATTTGAATGGCATGAGTTTATTGTATTGATTCCATTTGATGATTGGCTCAGCAATCTTGCTCGTATCTTTGCGCGCAAAGAATCGGCCAGCGTTCGTTGGATTTGTCCTGCGAAACTAGCCAAACGAACCTCCAAATTTGCGTCGAATGCTTGTGTCTGATCCGCAAAATGAACTTTCAATTTTTCTTCAAGAACACGAGCATCTTCGGCCAAACGTCCCTCTAAACGAGTTTCCAATCCTGTCTCCATTTCCTTGATCAATTGAACTGATCGCGTTGATTCCGCCATTGAAGTCGCCAAATGAATCATGTAGGCTGATACCACTTGTTACGAAAGAACTATAATGAGAGTAACCGAGGCACTAGATGAAGAAGAAGAGTCCAAGAAGAGAGGTTTCTGATTTAATTCCAAGAATTAGGAGAAGAGTTACAGAATTTTGCTGATACCAAAAGAAAGATGAATTATTATTTTTTTCTATACCCTGGAATTGTTCCATTTTATAACAACTAACTACTAACAGAATCAGTTAGTTGTCTCAACAGTTTTCCAAAAATGAAAGGTATGGTGCCAACTCAGCCATGCCTCTAATATATCATAACAACATGTGCTACAGAATGGTATATATGATAAGATTTTGTTCAGCTTGTGTTGGCAGATTTGATGGCCATTGCACACCTCTCCCTTTAAGGTCAGGGTAGAGGTTGAGAATATGGCTTCAGTTTTCATATATTATCCGTACGTTCTTGTATTGTTTGGTAATATAAGGAGCTCGCAATAGTTGGTCTTTCTTATATTGCACCTTCTATGTGTGTTTTTTAATGAATCTGAATTGGTTGCGCTTGCAATACCTTCATGCCCAAGAGAGCTTGTTTAATGTATTATAGTGTTGGGGTTTTACTTCATAGTATATACTTTTAATTAGAGATCCTATCCACTTTTGCCCTTATTTCACAGGGCTTTTATGGTAGCACATGCGATCGGTGACATAATTACTGGAGACACAGTAGAACCGGAAGTGATTGTAAGTGCAGCTCCCTCTGTTGGAGGGTTGTTTGATTCACTCACTGGTAGTATAGGCATCTCTTCCAGGGCAAAACCTGTAAATCCACCTGTTGCTTCTTCCTCCCCTTCAAGTACAGCTGTACCAGGATCAGTTACAGCAGATGCTCCAAAAATTGGGTCTAGGCCATTGGATAAAGATGCACTTAGAACATTTATCAGTAGTTCAATGCCCTTTGGTTGGTACCTTTTATTATGGTATTTCTCATCTCATTTTGTGCAGTGGATTTCAGTAAGCTGTCAGTTTACCCATTACTTGTAAATTTATTCTATGGATGTATATTTTTATACAGGTACGCCCTTGGACCTTAATTATTCCAATATTTTTACTATAAAGGCCAATGGCTTTTCTGCAACAGATTTGCCTCCTCCAGACCAGAAGCAGCCAGCTTGGAAACCATATTTATACAAAGGAAAGCAGAGAATAATGTTTACTATTCATGAGACTATTCATGCAGCTCTGTACGACAGAGATGAAATTCCAGATACTATATCAGTTTCTGGTCAAATAAATTGTCGAGCTGAATTGGAAGGGTTGCCAGATGTGTCATTTCCCTTGGCAGGATTGAACGCAGCAAACCTTGAAGTTTTATCATATCATCCTTGTGCTCAAGTTTCAGATCAAGGTTTGGATAAGCAAGGTGTGATGTTTTCTCCACCGTTGGGTAATTTTGTGTTGATGCGTTATCAGGCAACTTGTGCCCTTGGACCCCCCATAAACGGATTTTATCAGTTGTCAATGGTTTCTGAGGATAAAGGTGCATTTCTATTTAAGTTACATTTAATGGAAGGATATAAGTCCCCCTTGAACATGGAGTTCTGTACTGTGACTATGCCCTTTCCTAGGAGGAGGATTTTGTCTTTGGATGGGACTCCTTCTGTGGGAACAGTTTCAACTTCAGAGCACTCTGTTGAATGGAAAATTGTGACAAGTGGCCGAGGACTGACTGGAAGAAGTATTGAAGTGACTTTCCCTGGAACAGTCAAGTTTGCACCATGGCAAAACCAAAGGTTGTCTTCTTCCTCTAGGTCATCCTTTGGAATCAATGCTGACGAGGATAGTGATAATGAGGCAGAGAATGCCAGTAACATGGTTAATGAAGAACATTTGATGGAGAAAATGAACAAGGATCTTCCTCCAGTTGATTTAGAGGAGCCATTTTGCTGGCAGGCATACAATTATGCTAAAGTACGCCCCTTAGTGTTATTTTTATCTCTTAGCAAGGCATCTATTTTATCACTTAAAATTTTATGAATTTGCAATTTATTGTTGACTGAAATTTCCTTACTTTTTTTTTTCTGATGGTTTTTGATTAGTTGATGCTTTTGATTATATTACCATGTCATATAATCAGATTCTTTGCGCTGAAATTTAGGGATTGGATGGAGAAGACGAAAGAAATAATATATTTACACTTGTAGGACTCTGAATAACTCTGTTGTAGTGATGATGCAAAACGTTGACCCAATATTCCTATTTCTACTAATACCGTAGGCCAGATACAAATATAGTACACCTAGCATAAACCCAGTTCGATTGGACCTCTAACATTACTAGACATTTTGCCCACTAACAATGTTAACATTAAACATTGTAACTTAATTTGAACCATTTTTTCTAGTTTCTAATATTGTATCTGTTAACTAGTTACCAGATTTGTCCAGCTTTCAATATCTGAAGTTTATAATTTCTCTTGCGTGATGTGATTACACAGGGAATATATTACTAGGCTTTTATAAATCTAGTTTCTTCTCTAATATCGCAAAGCAGGTAGCTGTTGGCATATTGTGTAATTTAGTGCTTTCTTATTTAATAGTTGACTGATTTATCTTTTTACTATTGTGATATGTTAAGGAGTCTTTCTTTCCTGTGTTAGCTTTCTATGCCAGTATCTACTTCTTGATGTTTAGAATGTCATTCATTGATAATCTTCATGTTTACCAATTATCAATTAGTTCATGCCCTTCTCCTGGTATGTGTGGTTGACTTCTTTTTAGCTGGTTATACTTTTATGTACTTTAAATTGAATATACACATCCTTGTAACTATTGTTTTGGTGGGCCATATAATAAAATTGACTTTATGCCACTTAAACTGTCTAAAATTGATGAATATGCGTTTGATTAGGCTAATACTACATATTTGAAAGTGTGTTTAAGTCTGTAATTTCATAAAGATTAGATTTTCTGTATTAATATTTTCTTTATTATAGGTATCATTCAAGGTTGTTGGGGCATCAGTCTCTGGAATTGCCGTTGATCCTAAATCTGTGAGTCTACAAATCTATTTCGATCCTAAACAATTTAGTTGAGAATAACTGATAATTTATGTTAAGTTAGTTGAGAATAACTGATAATTGATTATTAACTTCTGTTTCCTTGTTTTTGTTGTTCCACAGCCATTTTCTTATATAGTTTTTTTATTTGTTCTTATTTCTCCATGTCTAATTTTTCTTCAAAATATATATCAAGAGGACTGATCAACCATACTGAATTTTTTTTTACGCTTCGAATCCCTCTTCTTTTTACTTTTTGTTGTCTTTATTTGCTTACTTTGTAGGTGAGCATCTATCCAGCTGTAAAAGCACCTATCGAGTTTTCAACTCAGGTATATGTTTACTAGATTTGTCTGGTAGGATCAGTGATTCATACTTTAAGCGAATCCACTGAATATGATAAATCTCCCTAAATTTTTTGCTCCTTTCAGTGTCCATGATATCTATTCATGTCTTTTATTATTTGTGGTCATAACCAGGTTACTTCTGGGGACTATATTCTGTGGAATACTCTTGGTAAGTGTCCACATGTAGCCACAATAAAAAGGTAAGTATGAATGGCCATTGAGGGATATTTAAATGATGTGGAATACTCTGGAATGGTGTTTTTTATTCTTTGCTGAGTATTTTGGAGACAAACTATTGTTGAATCTTGCTCCCGAGTGGCCAATTAGAAAGTAATAACTGTTTTTGGAGTTGTAATTAGGACGAATTAGTTGACAGGAAGTGTAAGTCTTGACATACACTGGTATCAGCATCTTCTAAAAAGTAAATTTTATTAATTTAAATCTTGGATTGAAAGTTTTAACAAACTATGATAGTTTAGAAATGTTCATACAATTATATTAATTGGTATATTAATGTTTCATATTATTTTAATAAACAACTTACTATTTATTATATAAGAAAAAACCATTATTATTATATCACATGTTCATGAATTGCTAAATTTTTTAATTTTTTAAAAGTATGACCATCCATAAAATATTGTTTTATTCAATGATTAAGTTGATAAAACTTGTCATTTATGAAAGTTGTTATAGGAGTAACCGTGTAAGCTTGCAAACATTTTTCATATATTTCCATATAAATGTGCATTTTTATGGTACATTTTTTTTTCCCTTAGAAATTAGCATTTATATGTGTTTGTTTGTTTATATTCCTTAATAACACTATGATTTGAGAGAACTAAATAGTGAATACATTTATATGATTCCTATTGATACATTTGTGGATAGCATAGGAAATAAAGTTGTATTGCTTAAATTTTAGTTCACTCGATAAATAGAGAAATGTAGTTCCACGATATAGAATTAGTCTGATGCATCACGATATAATCTTGTGGGTTACAGTATATACAATTATCAATTGAGCTGGAATAATCTCGTGTTTAATGGTGTACTAGAATTTAGTGTAATGGTTATGTATTACACTATTAGTAATCAATAAAAGATCAACTTTATTATAACTTTGAAATCTATTATCGTAATTTATTAATAAATTTATTATGTATCATGATGTAAAATAAGACCATTGTTTTAGTAAATTATTTTTTAAATATTTAAAATATAATTACATACATATTGAAAATTAGCATCAAATTAAACATATAATATTTTAAATTCTTGGTTTTTATGCAAGCTTAAAATAATGATAAGTATTTTTGAACAAAAAATAATTTATTAATGCATTTAATTTTTTTATACAACTTTAAAAATGTTTTTATTTTAAAAGATAATTTTAATTCCTCAAAAATTTAATTATAATTACTAATTTTTGTTTTTTATTGACTACTTAAATAAATTTGAAATTATTAAAAGTTATTTTTTGTAGATATTAATAATGATAAGTATTTTTCAACAAAAATAGTTTATTAATGCATTTTTTTATACAACTTTAAAAATGTTTTTATTTTAAAAGATAATTGTAATTCCTCATAAAATTAATTCTAATTACTAATTTTTGTTTTTTATTAACTACATAAATAAATTTGAAATTATTAAAAGTTGTTTTTTTTTCAGATATTATTTTTGAAAAGGAATTGACAATGTATTAATTGTTGAAACCAATATTTTTAAAGAAAACTAATATTTATAAAAAGATGTGTGAAATAAACCGATCGAATCACCATGATTCATTAATTATTCGGGTTTAATTCGAAAACAAGAATGAAAGGCTAGGGCTGACGTAATGAAGAGGCGGTGAAGGCTATTTATTTTGATGTTATGTGGATCTGAAAATCGGCAACAACCACAACACGAGAGAAAACATAGATTAGATCTGAAGAAAGTGTTTTAGGGTTATGTATATGCGGGAGAAGAAGGAGACGAGGCCATGCGAGTTGTCCTCCTCACTTGATATCAAATTGAAGACCGCCTTGCCTTCCTTTTCACTGCATCCCTTTTCGAATGGAAACAGGGCTTTCCTATTTTCATTTTTAAAATAGGCATTGCATTGCGTTTCGATGCACTTTCCAATGCCTATTTTAAAATGAAAACAACGATACGCTGTTTTCGTTTGAAACTGTTGTAAAGGAAGATAACGCTGACGAGTTCTTCAATTTGATTTCAGCTGACGAGGACCTTTTTATCATCCACCCCTCTATTCGCTCGCTCTCCACGGTAAACAGCGTTTTCTCCCTTTCAATTTGCACACTTCATCTCCATTTACGCCTAACATAAGCTGCTTAATGATTCTGTTGGTTTACTCGTTGTGTACCTGTTTCAATCATAAATACACTGTCTATTGATTTTCTCTGATGGGCTTTTGGCGAAGGGAAAACTGATGCGTGTTTCATACATAATTACCGTTCCAATTGATTTGTTCTCTTTTGGGCTTTTGGTGAGGGGAAAAGTGGGAAAAGGAGGGGAATGAAAAGTTTTACCTCCTTTTTTATCCACCCTCAATATACCCAACATTTAAGATGTACACGTTTTATTGATGCTCTTTCTCCTTTTAACACATTACATTTAGTATAATATTGTGGTTAACTCAGCAGTGTGGAGCAAACCTACCAGTTCGTTCTAGGGAATACTTCTCTTTGGAAAGATGGTAGCGCTCAACTACTATATTCTTATAATGCATTTCAATATATTGAAATTTCCAGCTCATATCCTAAGGACGTTCTTTGTTACTGTGGATTTGGTTGAAAGGAGAGAGGACAGAGCAGAAAGAATACTGATAATCGATTTTTTTTTTCTGGAAGGAAAGTTAACGAATAAAAAAAAAGGAGTAATTAAGCTCTAGAAACAATAATTCAATTTTTTTTTTCTTTCTACTTTCTCGTTAATATTAGTTTTGAAATTTTCTACGCTTTTTCTTGTAAAATGAGTCATTGATGTTAGCAAAGAAGTCGAGCATAGAAGTTGACAAACTTCCCAAAAAAACACATCCTTGGATGCTTTTGTAGCCTAGGCTTTTTAAGATGTCCTGTATAAGCATCATTTTTAGGTGCTTCACACATCTCTCTATTGCTCCCAAGAGGCTAAATTTTTATTATATTTAGTTATTTGCGTTTCCTTGATGAATAGTAAACTGTATAATCCAGTCAGACACAATCCATATCGAGTAGTTATTTCTTCTTTGTTCTATTTCTCTCCAGATGCACAGATACTTCTTGGGTATCCAAGTTTTTTTTAGAATGTACTATCTTCAAATGACTGTGTTTTGCTCTTCTCTTAAGAATTAATTCTTGAGAAGCAAAGGTCCAGGTTCTTTTTTGTTTTCATATTCTAGAGGAACTTTATTTTGTTCTTAAACTAAAAAGAAGATTTGTTTCAATTGTGCTGTGCTTTTAGCGTTTGTACTTTCAGTATGAAGTCGTAGTTGTGCAACAAATCAATGTGATCGATCTGTGCACTCATAGAAAAAGAATGTAGTCTCTAATTACTATTGGATTTCGCTTTGTGTCTAATGCCAAAAGTTGTATTCTGATAATTACAAATGACGATGTTGGAAACGGAGTTTACTCCCTTCAAAGATTAAATTAATCTATTTTTCGAAGTACTAGAGTCAAATCAATTTGATAGTAGAGTGTCTTAAGACCATATAAAGTATTGGAAATAACACAACAATCTGATAGTATGGGTTCTATGACCAAAGTCATCAACACATCAATTTAAAAACTAAAACTACATTTTCCTGAAGTTAATCTAAAACTACGTTATGTTTGCTTCCACCTCGTTCTACTCAAGACTATTGTTGGCATGTAGCAAGTGCAGGTGAGAACTTCTTGTGTGACTGATGGTTTTCTAACATAGTAGTGTGTTAAAAATCATCTGTGACAAGATTCTATTAGAGTTTCTCTTGCTAACAAATAATAAAAACTGACATTTATTGTAATTGATCAATCAGCATTGAACGTTGAACGCGTGGAGAACAAGTTTGAAATTTCAGACATATGTGGAATAATTTCAACATTGCTCGGATTTTTTATTTTTATTTTTTGAACTGATTAATATTTGTAGTCTTTAGGAACAGAGAAAAATAAAGCTGTGAAAAAGGTTAAAACATTACTACAATTATAATTTTGTCTCTTAACAGTATAAGATATATGTTGGGCGACTACATATGCATATACCGACCATGATTGGTTTCATTATTTATCGTGTGCTGTAGACCCTTTCTTCATAACAATCTCGGAGAAACTTGAGAACTCTAGAAAGAAATAGTTTCGTTCGTTCGCAAGAATTCTGATATAATTTTCTGAATGAGTATAATAAAACAGATTACAGTTTAGGATGATATAATAATGGAAGTCATTAACATTTTACCACAAAACTAAAGCCACTTGTATATCTGTCATTCCTTCCTCAAACTCAAGGGGCAATGTTTTTATGCCCGTAGATGATACGTTGTAACTAAAAGAAAATGGTCATCTGGAAGATCATACATTGCTGTAAAGTAAAAGACGGTAGCAGCCAAACACGCTTTCCAATAAGTATCTATTAGTTATTTATTTTTAATAAAAAATGGTGTCAATTAAACAGAAATATGGATTATCAAAATAATTTCAAACATAGTTACAATTTTTTTGTATTTTTAAGAGTTAAAATACCTTTTTTTAAAAAAAAAAATTATGTGCTGAAATACATGTAAATTAACTATATGAGAAGAAAAACTGAAAAAAATAAGTCATAAGGTGACAGTCAATATTTATGACACTAGAATAATCGTACAGATTATCTAAATATCTGCTGTTATGGTATGTTGAACAAGGTTTTATCATGGGATAAGTACTTAAACTTGCAAAACCAACTATATCTAATGAAATTTTGGCAACGTGACCAGAAAGATTGTTGAGATTTAGATAAAACATGTGCACTAGCACTTTCATACTTCACTATATTGAAATCTAATCAAAATCAAGTATTTCTAATTTGTAGTTTGGCAGGAGAAGTGGACAAGTTGAGTTAAATTGTGAAAAAAAAGTGGTTGTTTAGATTGAGAAAAAAATAGAGTATAAAATAAAAAGAAATTAGTGGAAAAATTATAAAAGAGAAGATTGATATTGAATAAAAAATTAAGATAATAGTATAACGTATATAATAATTATAATATTTCTTATAAAATAAGTATAAATAAGTATAAATTCAGTAATTAATTTATATTATAAATACTATTTTAATATAATAATAAATTTTTTATATAAAATATAAAAATAATTTTGAATATTTTCTTCTAATGTTTAAATTTTTTTGAATAAAAAAAGAAGGGTAAAAAATAGAAAGAAATGAGAAAAAAGTATATAATTAATTTGAAATAATAAAAAATAAATTAATAAACTAATTTATTAAATTATTAAAATATTCTTACTTAAAATTTAATAAAAATAATAATAAATTATTTTATAATAAATAATTAATTTTAAAAATTTTATTTTAAAAAAAATAAATTATTAAATAAAAATTATGTATGAAAAATATTTTAAGTACTAATTAAAAAAATAAAAATATTTATAGTAAAAAATAAAATCAATAATATTATGAAAAAAAAATTAATATTTAAATATAAATTTAACTTTTTTTAATAAAAAAATATAAAATCACGTATAATTATAAATATATATTATCAATATTAACTTTTATATATATATATATATATAATAAATCTAGTAATATTTTTTTAATATAATTGATTATTCATGTTTATATAATTAATTATTTATATATAAATTTATCTATACGATTAGGTGTATTTTAAAATTTTATGATCTAGAATTTTTTTTTATGATTCAGATATGTTATTTATAATAAAAATATAATTGATTGACACATTATTTATATATATGTAATAATTAACATAAATTTATATTAAAAATGAAAAATTTAACATAAGTAAACATAATATAAATAACTAAAAATAATGTATAATAATAAAAAATTGTAATTTAATTCATATTTATTATATTGGTTATATGAAAAAAAATGATTAAGAATGATGAAATTGAAAGAATTATAATAAAAAAATTTAATATAAAAGATAAAATAAACTTTCTAATTTTTTTCTCTCAAATAGTCTCTTTTTAGAATGAAAATACATTTTACACCTTCCACCCGCTCATCTCCTCTATTTCTCCACCAATTAAAGGTTCAAACAAAATTGATCAGAACACATCTCTCTTCATTTCCTTGACTACAGTAAACAAACACAAATTGAGAGAATGAGGATACATCTTATTCAATCAATTAATAATTAATTATATTAATATAATTAGTTATAAGATAAATATTTTAGTTGTGAAACATACAATAAATAAATAAATAATTATAAAATATAATAATAAATATTATTATTATATTAATATAATTTCAATTCTCAAGACACGTTTTCTTGGTCTAAAATCTTTATTAAAAAATATCTAAATATGATTGTAAATCAGGTTTAGATAATATATATATTAAAAAATTATCATGTAAATTTTTTAAAATATAATATATTAAATTATAATATTTTTACATAATTTATAAAAAAATAGAAAATGTGAGTATAAAAAGAGGATTATAGGGGAAAATGGGGGAGGGTGAAGAGAAAAGAGAAAAAAGAAAAAAGAAAAGAGAGATAGAGAAAGAAGAAAGGGAGGAGAAAAGGGGAAGGGAGAAAGAAAAGGAAGAGAGAGAAAAAGAGAAAGAAAGAGAAAGAAAATACATAAGTCTCTTTTATTAAATTTTGGTATATCATCTGTAATTACTAAGATAGAAAAAAAGACATTTATTATTCTATTCCTTTCATTATAGATCTTTGGATTTGAGAACAAATCCTTCGCAAGAGAGAGGAAATGATATTAACATAAAAATTTAAGGTCATGAGAAGAAAGATGAATATCTAATTGAAGACTTAATTAGACCAATGATTAGAATAAAGATTAGAAAGATCCAATAAGCTTTACAATAGAAGGTGACTTTTTGATGAGAAGTCTAATAATCAAAGACCCAAGTCACTGAAGATGCTAAATTGGTTATATGTGTAGTGGACTCGGAGAGTTAAAATAAAAACAATTTATTTTTTTTATTATTGATTGAGGTGACCCTAACCTTATTTTATTTATTCTTTTATATTTATTTTATCTCCAATTTTCATTAGTCTTATTTTAATTATCTCTAGTTACGCACTCGTTCTGTTTTATATTTATTTATTTTATCTCTAGTTACGTACTGGTATTGCTTTATATTTATTTTATTTATCTTCAATTACGCACTCGTCCTATTTATTTATCCATCTCTAGTTACACATTTGTCCTGTTTTATATTTATTTATCTCTAGTTACACATTGTTTTATATTTATTTTATTTTCCCCAGTTACACACTTTTTATATTTATTTATCTCTAATTACATACGAGTCCTGTTTTATTTATCTTCAATCATGCAATGTTTCTATTTCTTTTATTTTTAGTCATGTACTTGACCTTTGTTTATTAATATATATTTATATTATTTAATTATTTGTAAATGATAATATTTATTTATGAAGATTTAATGATATTGTAAATGGAGGTTGTACAATTGAAATAAGTAAATATCACTTAGAGAATATGATTAAAATTAGGCTCATATATCCTAACTAATCACTACAAATTTAATTCAAATCTTTATAATATAAAATAAGTTAAACATGATGATGAAGTTGAGTTGTAGATTTGATATATCATTATAAGATTATATTATTTTAAATGATAATTATTCTCATTTTCGTATTATGATTTTTTGTGCATATTATACTTAAATATCAACTTTAAGTAAATGAAAGCGTCAAACATTCCAAAATATTGTAATTCGACCTTTAAGTTTTTGTCATACAACTTTGATAGACAATTATTATAAGGAGACTAGCTCCATGTTTGCGTTTGAAAAAACATGAAGCACTTAAAAGCAAGCCTCTAAATGAAGTTCCCCTCAAGAAAACAACATTAACCGAAAGCCTTCACTTCCCACGAAGCATCCGCCTACTCAAAGGCATTAACAAGAACTTCAAAGGCGCTCTCCAAAAAAAAATCCTCGACAACCAGCAAAGTCAGATGACCACTACAAAAGATAAAAAACAAAGAATCCTCAGCAATCAACAAACTGGATGGCCATTAGAAAATCCAGAAATCAAAGAATCCCCGGCACACCGGAAGACTCTACCAGAAAAAGTCAAAAATAGACTATCAAGAAAGCATTCCCCTTGGAATATCGCCGCATGAGCTAGAGCAGTAAGTCGCCACCACCACCGGTCTTATGAAGTGGACTGCACCAGCCAAATGGGGGGTTCATACCCATCAAACTGCGCATGAGTCAGAGCAGTAAGTCGCAACCAGTCCTACAAAGTGGACTTTCACACCAGATGGGGGTGCGTACTCATCAGACCTTACAAAAAGGGGCTTACCAGATGGGGGTTCATACTCGTCAACACCAGATGGGGGTGCGTACTCGTCGGACCTTACAAAAGGGGGCTTATCAGACGAGGGTTCATACTCGTCAAACACCAGATGTGGGTGTATACTCATCAAGCCTTACAAAAGGGGGCTTACCAGACGGGAGTTCATACTCGTCAAACCGGATGAGGGTTCGTACTCATCAACCGAAGGGGTCAGCTACCACATCAAAGGAGCATCCCAGAGGATCACACTTAGCGTCCAGAAGGTCAGTTACCACCACCAAGAAAGCAACCAAAGGACAACCAAACAAGAGGGTTAACTCTTTCACCCTCCAGCCGATCTTTTTAGCATATTGAGCCAAAAGTCGTTTAGTCCGGTGAAGGGGGGATAGCTGTAGACCCCAAATCTTGCCCGACCTCAAAATAAATAGCAGAAGACTTCTATTCGAAGATAGACAAGGCCTAGAAGGTCTCTAGGATAGACCAATAGGCTCCATATTAGATAGAGTAAGAAGGTTTTTTTGTATGGAAAAATAAGAAATTCCACCTAGAAGGCCGATCTCGAGACCGTCGTCTCGTCATCAGCTAAGGGCGAGATCGTCGTCTCGTTTTGCGAGACGACCTTCTCGCCAATCGCCAATGGCGAGTAGAGATGACAATTAAACCTGTACTTGTGGGGACCGACCCGTCCCCGCCCCGAGTTTGACGGGGAAAACCTGAGTTGACCGGAGGCGGGGGCGGGTTCGGGTTTTCTCCGCTTTAAAAAGTCGAGGTCGGGGGCGGGGATGGGTAATGCAATCCCCACCCCGACCTCGACCCCGTCCCCGCCCCAACTTTATATTTAAATTTAAATTATAAAATATTAATATTTTAAAAGTATTTCCTTTTCTTTTTCTATTATATATAAGGTCATTTTCTTATATTTCACCAATTTTTTTCTTCTACCCACTTTTTAATTTTGTTATCTTTTTTAATCTTTTATATCAATTAATTTATTACATTATTCTTTCTTTTACCTTTCAGTTTTTCACATTTCCTTAATCTTTTTTTCAATCTTTTCAACCAATTTGATGAACACAAATTTAATTTTTTTCATTCTTTATCTTTTTCTAAATATTTTACATAAATCTTAGTAGTAACTAATATTATTTTATTTATAATTTATATTTATTAAGTTTTATTATGTCATATTTTTTTATCTTATTATTCTTATTTATCATATATCAAATTTTATCTTAATAAAATAATTATATTTTAAAGAATTAAAGGAATTGATAATTTAAACTTTTATTACTTGGAACAAATTGAATAAGAATTAACTTATTAAATATTTCTTTATAAACTATATATTTCATATTTTTACATGACAACTTAAAAATAAATTAACTTATATATATAATCAAATGTTTGAATACAGTATTATAATAATAATGTTATAAATATTCAAATATTTGAATACAATGTTATAATAATAATAATGGTATAAATAAAAAATAATTAAATATTTCTTTTACATACATATTTTAATATAAATATAATAAATTAAAATGTATATTTAATTAATAATAATTATAAATTATAAAATTATAAATATTTATTTATATATAAAAATTAGATAGTAAAGTTAATTTATTATAAATGTAATTATCTTTTTAAAAATCATATAAATTAGGGACTGGGCGGGAACCCGAAACCCAACGGGGACGAGGATGGTTAAAAAAGTCAGGGGCGGGGATCGGGAAGGCAAAACCCGCCCCCGCCCCGCCCCGTTGCCATGCCTAGGCGAGACCACCGTCTTGTTTGGAGAGACGGCCTTCTCGCCATTTGCCAAGGGCGAGACTGCTGTCCCGTTTGGCGAGATGGCGGTCCCGACGTTGTCAGGTGAGACGACGATTCCGATCTGACAGACGCTAATTCCTATAAAAGAGGAGGGGGGCGACCTCACAACATTCTTCCACTTTTCCTTCTGCAACTTTCTCAAATTCTTCTCCTAGGATACCTCCGAAGCATTTTCGGAGTTTCTTAGTATTCTTAGTGAGTGTTTTCTAGTGTTGCGAGAAAGAGCGATCAACACTGTAGAGTGTGAAGGTTATCGCCTTTCTTTACCAAGAATATTAATAACAAAGCTTGCTTCGAAGGTTTCTACATTTCTTATCTTCTTTTTACCACTTTCTTATTACATCTATCTGTGCATTAGTTGTTAGGACCATGTAGTCAACACTTTAAATTTCGCAAATGAATAAATAAGGGTAAAAGCGTTATTTTAAATTTTTTTTATTTATAAAATAAATGGTTCATCATAGGGAACCCGGAAGGGCGTCGTAGGGAAGCTAATACCTTCCCTACACGTAACTAACTCCCTTACCCAACTCTGGTTATAATGGCCAAAGTTAATACCTTCTTTTTCTTTTTCTTCCTTTTCCTTTTATAAAACATTGGTGGCGACTTTAGGTCCAGCCCGGTTATCTGACAACCTGAAGGCGTTGTAACATCACTTTAAAATTGCGAGTCAAAGCAAAAACCATTGCGTCGCTCCGACCGCCTCTTTTGATGCGGTGACAATCGAAAACCCCAAAAGGGCGGTCTAAGAAAAAGTTAGTGCTTAACAAAAAATGAATAAAAGAAGAGTCCACCATCATAATCATGAAAGTCCAGCAGGAGAATGTCAGTCACTTTTTTAGATGCATCAAATAAAAATAGATTGTATTTATGACATCCACACAAGTAGTCGCACAAAATGAATTTGTCAAAAAAATATAATAATAAAAATCGTCTCAGATAAA